CGAATAAGTTTTGTTAATTAGGTCAGTTAGAAACATCCCTTTAGCCTCTTCAAGCGATATTAAGTTAGAAATCTTACATTTTAAATAATATAATCTTATCTTGTGATACAATAAACCATGATCTATGTCGAACCGAGATTTGAAAATATGCTAGTAATCAAACTGTGCTTGTTCAGTTCTGGGGTCTTGTCAGGTCATAGACACTTTTAGTGTTGCTGTACTTTCTAGCACATGCTTCTACCCTTTCGCTGTCTTCTTATCATTAATTTTGTAGCTTAGTGAGTGTGGATGGCCGATTGCTAGATTAGTTGGTATGTCAAAACCCCAACTGACCATAACACAACAAGTGAACTTTATCTCCTTATTGCTGCTGCAAGCGGAATTTTATCCTCCCAATATCTCTACACTAGAAGGATACACCCACATAATTTGTCATTGTATGGTGTTTACCCCTAAACAGCTAAGACTAAGAGCATCCATGGAATTTGCAATTAAGTTTGTACATGATGGAGACAATACAATGCAGCACTTGTGTTCAATTATAAATACACCAAGGATTATAAGGTATAATTACTTTGCAGCTTGTAATACACAGACAAAATGTAAACCATAGTGAACCCTAATAGTAATAACATGCATTAAATTTACAAAATTTGTTTGCACGATAATCTTTCTCTCTTAAAAAATAAAAGATTATGAATTCGAGTCATAATATGAAACTAGAATAAGAATCAGATAAATAGGAGATTCTATATGACTTGTTTCATTCCCCCTTCCACTCAGGTTCCATTGTGACCGAATCAAGATCTACATAAGGGTGCTACCATATCAAGCTGCAAGGACATTTAACTGTGTGATTCTCTAATCATAGATAATTTTATGATATTTTTATGAAGATATGTTAAACTTTTAATTTTGACTGAAGTACCAAGGAAATCACATAGAATATCTTCCGATGTACTGTGTTTGGAAGACCAGAATATATTCAGACAAAAAAAAATGAGCATAAATCGATTTGGACCACAAAGTTTTAGTGATTTTTGAACCCGTGACTCTATCCGTAGTACACAATACGAACCATCACTACTGGAAAACGCAGCATATGCGACAAGAATATATTCGACAGCCATATTTCTGTCGAAAATGTGTACATAATCGACAGAAAGATTGACGAAGATGTAAAATTGACGATGATAATGGAAACTTCTTGTTTAATCGACAGTAATCATATTCGACAAAAAAGTTGTCGAATATATAAAATATATTCGACAGAAATTTTCTGTCGATTAAACTTGGCACATAATCGGCGCCAGTATGGTTGGCAACGACATCGTTTCCTCTGTATATTCGACAGCCAAAGTTGTCGAATATACTTGTTTCATATCACCCGCACCTCGCCTTTCTTCCCCATTTCTGCTTTTCCCTCTGCGGCGGTAGATCTGGTTTCTTCTCTGGCGAAGCTTGCTGTCGCTGTTCTTCCGTAGCGCCCCCTGTTCTCCGCTCCACGCCGGTGCCGATGAGTTCGCCCCTCTCTCGGTCAATTGATTGATTTATTTTTGCATTTATTTTCCTTGGATTAACTTACAGTCGGCACAGCATTCTCTACTTCAGTCATTGCATTGTTCCTTGTTGATCCTTGCCTTTTGGTTCAGCCTCCAGCATCTCTAAGCAACCGCACCACGTGGAGGAGGTTTCCAGGAAGTTGCAGCACATTTTTTTGGTTTTACTTGTTTTTTCCTCGGATTTGGTTTTACAATACCCCATTTTTCGTTTTTTGTAGGTTGAAGAGTTGTTATTAGTAAATTTGTATATACAAAGTTAGAAATTTTGAATTATTGTGTTTGAGGTTAAGGTTGAGATTGATATTGAAATTGATATTTAAATATCTATAGTTATTGAAGTGGAGTGATATTTATGTTGAGTTTTTATGGTTGTCAATTTGTTATTTATTTCAAATTAGCTTGATTAAGAAATTGATATTGAGATTAATTGAGATGTGCATTATTATTGAACTAAAATGATATTTATATTGAATTTTTATATATCAAATACATTATAAAATTATGAAAAGAATATTTACTTGATTGATAAATATTGATTTTTTAATTATTTAATTGATTGAGTAGAGAATTATGATTATATGCTTTAATTGTGGAGTAAATTATAATTAATTACATTGTTAGTTAATTCATAATTAATTATAATGATTATAGTTGATTGATTAATTAAATCATAATTACATATTTAATTACTAAGTAAACTATGATTAATTTAATTAATTAATTGATTATAAAGTTATCATATGCTAAATAGATAGTCAAGATTATTTTTAAAGCAAAATGAACAGTTAAGATTACTTTGAGAGTAAAATGGATAGTCAATTTTACTTTGACAGCCAAATGGACAATCAACCAAACTTTGATAGCCAAATGGATAGTCAACTCTATTTTGACAGCCAAATGGACAGTCAACCATACATTGACAGCCAATATGATGGTATAATATTTTTTTCCTTTTCCCTCTCATAATTTTTTATTTCATGTTGATGCATACCATTTACTAACATATTAATTTTATGTTAATTTACATAAGAATTGTTGAGGATACTCCTGAATCATTATGGGATTGTCCATCTCAGAGTCCTCTAAGAAAGAAGTTGACAACATCATGGAATCATATTGCAATCCCCCAAGACATTCCATTGCCTAAAAATGAAGACAACGTTGTTTGCCAAATATGTGATATTTCTGGACATGTTGCTATTATATGCCCGCAATGATATAAAGTAACTTGTCAACTGTGTAACCGTGAGGGTCATACTGCAAAAGTTTGCCCAAATCGTTACCGATCAGAAAGCGCGTCAGACCCATCCTCTACACCTACTGAGTCTTCTGAAACTATTACAAAGATTTTTGCTAATGATCGTCTTACATTTACAAAAAAGTCTTGGGATGAAGCATGTAAAAAATTACATTCCATTCAAGAACCGTAGTTATTTTACCTTATTTACTTATATTCTGCAATGTATTTTCTTGTCACGCCCCAGAACCCAAATCTAGGGATGTGGCAGACGCCGTGCACTCGTGAGACGGGTCCCACAAGTGCACAAGGCTCGGAACTTATTCAAATCACAAACTAATACCATCAAAATCTGAAGATCAAATTATAAAATCTCTTTGATATCATAAATCTCCAATAAAATCTCCAAATACAAGATCATGATTTATATCTAAATCTATGCTCAATCTCGAAATGACAAGCCTTCTAACTTGTCACTCCCCTTGATTTCCCCGTCCTCGCTTTCACTTCCTGAAATGGTGGACAAGGAAAACTATGAGATAAGCTCAATAAGTAAATATGGATAGCCCTTGGGTAAAACTTTGAAGCATGCCAGATAAACCATGTAAGCGTAACAGACTTTTAATGATAAACCATTAATGCAGAAATCGGATTCAGTTCAATAACAAAACGTTTCATGACAAACCGTTACATGCAGAAGAAAACTCAGTTCAGTAGTCTCATCTATAAGTCATGGCCAGTGTTTACA